GGTTTTAAGGGTAATGAATGAAAGACGGTGAAACACTTTACTAATAACTTAACAGTTCTTAACTTAACTCAACAATCGTCGTAATGAAAACACGAAAGGAGGAATTGAAGCGCACGGAACTCTGAACTGTGCCTTTTATTATAGCGTACAGTCTGGAACCATCTTGATTCTGAGAGGCAGTGAAGAAGAAGTGTGAAGGAGGTCGGCACGGTCTGGCAGCCCCCGGGTTAGAGAGTCTGCACAGTGTGTGTGTGTGTGTGTGTGTGTGTGTGTGTGTGTGTGTGTGTGTGTGTGTGTGTCCTGCTCTCGGCACTAGAAAGCTACAGGTCGGCTCATTAAGTGACCGCAGCGGCTGAAGAGGAGAAAATGGCTCCTCTCATTTTGTTGTTGCTTCTTTTCCTCACAGCCTTGATTCGGTCCTCAGGCTGGGTTCGCTCGCTGCAGCATCTCTAAGCGTAGACACAGACCGTGGTTGTCCTCTTCATCAGCAGCAGCATCTTCGTCATCATCACTAATCATCAGAACAAGTATCTTTACCATGGCAGTTTGCGAACGTCGCGTCTAGTACAAGTACTGAACCATCATCACTCTGCTCTTGATTTAAGGCCTGTTTGTATGATATTAGATATATTATAGATTTCTAATTACTAATTCAGGGCGTCATATCGTATTCGGGTGGTGAATTTATTATCATGTACTCTCACTTGCACTTTTACTCAGAGAAGTAGTTTGTTGTAGAATTTTGTTGATTCATATTTGGGATTTTCACAAAAAAAACATTAATGGTAAAAAAAATCTGAACATATTGATGGTTTAGCCATGAAATTGCTGTTTTATGCTAAAATAACTTCATCCTATAACAACTGACTTTCATGACTTGAAGTGAGTCAATGTCGTTTTTTTTAAGCTGAACAGCAGCGGCTCTGCTCGTAAATCCCAACATGGTGGTAAAAGCTGAGATGTAAATGTCGTTAAGTCCGCAAACTGGCTCAGTAACGACAATCAAACAGTAGCATCCATCTCAAGGTTGATATTGTTTTCTAGCTTCAAAAGCTACAAACCAGACAAAGTCAAGCTGTCGCAGCAGAACTCCAGAGTGATGAGAAGGATTTGTTGTACACGAAGGTGTTAGACATTAAAACTAAAGCAACGTGACTCACAGAGAATATTACGCACAGATCCTCCAAAATCCTGATTTCATCATTTATTTTCACCTTCAGGTTCAGGTTCGTAAACATTTCTCCAACCGCAGCATTTTCTTTTCCTGAAGTCGATGCACAAACGGGGCAGCGGGGCGACTCCAGCAAATGCCCGGCGCCAGCGGCGTATGAAATTAGACAGAAGCCCACTGGCGGCCGTGTTCAGCCGGCCAGATGTGCCAAACACCCAGAGCCAGCACGCCACCGGGCTAAATGGGTGAAATGAGGCATTGTTGATAACTGTGGTGTCCCACATCCTGCGTGACAGTTGGTGTCAGGAGGTGTGCGGGCATGTCTTTGTGTGTCTGTGCTCGTGTGTGCGTATGTTTGTGTAGGTGTGACACAGTTAATTGTTGAAAACTTTACTTTACTTTATTTAGTTTGTAGTAGTTCTATTTTTAAACGCTTACTTTTGGTGGATGTCAAATATGATCGCAAATAATTGAGTCAATCGTTATGTTGCTTTTAAATCTTCAAACTAAAACAATAGAAATCTAATTATTTGAAAAAAAACATTAAATACATTTTGAATACTACTGACAGATTGTAGTAAATTTCATCATTGTCTGTGTCGTTAGCAGCATTAAAAACAATACTGCGAGTGAAAAACCTTGAAACTCGTATTCACTCTCTGGTGCATACGCTTATCTACATGCCGACTGCTTTCACAGCTCGAACACACGTTTAGAAAGTCTGCTGGGTTTAATCACAGCGAGGCATGTGATCAGCGCTGGAACGAGTGACACGTGCAAAGAACAGGGAATAAATTAGAGCTAAAGAAATGAACCAAAGTGAAGTGATGTTTGTGAACTTTCCCGTTCACTCGGTCGGGGACGTGTTCAGCCCCACACAGATGGCGTCGGGCACCTTCCGTCCCGACACGAGCACAGTCTGTGTGTTTGTGTCGCTCTGAAATCATTGTGTACTCAAACCATGACACAAAATATACATGTGCAAAGACAACTTGTGGGTAAAAACAACATTCAAATACTGCTTAGCCGTGAAATCAATAATACTGTAGTGATGGTATAATCGTATAAAATCCTATATTAAATACTTTATAATGTTGAAGTACTTTTAAATCTGTCACTGTGGCTGATTTATTCTAGACAGATATAATAATGGATAATTATTCTGGTATAATAATTAAACCTTTGTCATCTTTCTCTCACTTCTTATCGTCTTCCCTCTTGTTTCTGTCTCTGTTGTTCGTCTTTCTGTTTTCTTGCTTTCGGCCCATGTGTGTTTTGACTTTTTCTCTTTATCTCGCCCTTCATCCAGATCATCCAGGACCGTGTGGTCTCTCATGTGTCCAGAAACCAGTTGCTGTGGAATTCCCTCCCTGGTGGTCTCTATGCACTGCCCCAGTACTCCACAGACCCAGCCCAGTTCCCTTTTTACTACGCCATCCTGGGTGAGTGCCGAACATTTACCTTTTAATAAAGTCGTTGGTGTAGTTTCTTTACTCCAGAACATTTTAAATCCTAAAGAAACATTCATGAAAACATACAAATCTCTGGGTTTACTGATGAATTTAACTTCGGTTGCTTCCAAAACTAATTTTCATTTGCAGTGAGTAGCTGCTCTCAGAGCCTGTTTGTTGGAGTTCAGTCCGACGTGTCCTACTTATCCACATGTTCAGCGGTTGGAGCTGCACCAGTGGAAGCAATTAAGGTGCTTTAACCCCTGGAACCAGATTGACACAGACTCCCCCCGGGCTTTGGATGCACTGACGTGATGCACGTGTTTTTAGATTCATTACGATTTACACTTTCTCTGATGTCCATCGTGAGTTAACATCCATAAACATCCACCCAGAGTGTTTCATCGGGAAGGGCACCCGGTGCGAAGCCGTTTAAATCTGTGGATCGGGCTCCGCGGCCGGAAGAAGGAGCAGGAGACATGACGGTGCTGGTTGAGAGGAATTTTTTTTATCAGAGTGGGTTTTAGGGCATCGGGTCAGACTTTGATAAAAAAAAAATAAAAAATAAAAAAAGAGGAAGAAAGGAAAGAAAAGGAATGGCGTCAGGTTTGAGGTGAAGAAAATTCCTGTAGTGATTATTCACTGCTCTTGGCAGAGTCGATCAATATATGATGCCTTTCTCCTTATTTATGTTAATGTGCATGACACTTGATATGTGGTGTGAATGGTGATGGAGCAAATATAACACCACAGACTGAGAGTCAAGGGTCTGGAGTGTGTGTATATGTGTACGTGTGTGTGTATATGTGTACGTGTGTGTGTGTGTGTGTAGATGTATGCACACTGACCAGAGTGATTCTCTCAGATTGAGGCTGTAAATCAGATGAATGTTTGTACTTCTCGGAGGGATTGTGGACACGGGGGTTAGGAGAGAGAAAAGAGGTGAGAGACCGAGGAACAGAAGAAAAGATGGAGTTTGGTTTATTATCTGCATTTTTGCCGCCAAAGTCCTTAAAAGATTGTTTTTTGTTTTGTCCATTCGCCCGTCTCATTCTTGCGATTGCGATATCTCAAGAAAACATTGAGGGAATTTCTTCATATCTGGAGAAATGATAAGATGAGATAAGATAAGATCGAACTTAATCGATCCCACGTTGGAGAAGTGAAATCATTCGCTGAGGCAGCAGATTGAATGACGGAGACAAGGGATTGCATGAAACCAGAACTCAAGGATGACCTGATTAGATCTTGGTGGTCATACGGTCACAGTGACTCGTGAATACTCCAGATAATTATTTCAAATTTGGCACAAATGTTAATTTAGACTCACGGATTAAAAAAGAATTCCGATTGCATTGGATGGCGGAGGCACACGGTCGCCTTGCAGTATTTCTAGTTCTTACGTATTGATAATAAGAAGAACCAAGGTGGCACAGCTCTTTCCAAGAGAGTGCGGCAGAAACAGAAGGCGGGAGCTTATCCCCGTGACCCCACAAGGGCAGACCTCGTGCTTCCATAAATACGCTGAGCCCACCTGAGATGTCTGGTCAGGGGGCCCGGTGTCAGAGAGATGGATAGAGCAACACTAAAGAGCACTCCGGCTCCACTTATCCATGAGGATGCTTATTCCCCTATTCCCATACCCGCCCCAACACTTGGTGGCTATGGAGATGTTCCTGCATTCCTGCTTCTGAATATAACGTGTGTGTGTATTCCAGTATCTGCCCTCATTTTCTTTTCTCCTCATATTGTGTTAATCACATTAGTCTCATTCCGAGAACTACATTTTATTCACACGAGGCATTTTTCCAGGGAGAGCATCAAGTTAATCTGATTAAAATCAATCTATTAGCGAGCAGGTGAATACACGTCTGCTCTTTATGTCTGTACAGTGAAAGCTACAAGGTGAACTCATTCATTTATTATGGAATAGAAAACGCCGCGGAAGCCAACGCTCCATAATACAGATGCATTTCTTTGGCACAAGCTGCCTCAGGGGGAATCACTTCCTCGGCTCTATTTACTCATTGTACTTGCATGCTGGGGATCATTTATCCAAGGTAGTAATTTAAAGTTTGGTTCTGCTTCTCGACTTCTCGTTTTTATCCAGTTTGGTTCATTTGTTCTCTTCAGTAAAATGCAAAAAAAAAAACTAACAAGAGTTGGTTTATTTGGTGCAGGAAAATGGAATAACTCATTACGGGGGGGGCTAAATCAGCAGAGTTCAGCGTTCACTAAGAGAGACACTCTGAGGAAAGTGTTCACTCTTGTATTAGACATGTTTACTCATGTTCAGTCATGTGAAGCGGGAGTGTATATGCTGTCAGGAAGATGGATGACGGGTGCAGCACGGAGCACTCGGTGTCCAGTTAACCGTGATGGAGCTTTATGGGGAGGTACATCTGCACAAATCTGTGTTAAAAAACCTAAATACACTTCGCCCATGACAACTGTTTCCTGTGTGTGTGTGTGTGTGTGTGTGTGCAGGTAAGAGCCCGTCGCAGCAGTTCACAGCTGTGATCCACGCTGTGACTCCTCTGCAGTCCCAGATCTCCCCTGTGGTGAAGCTCATCATCGCTGTAGCCAAGTCCAAGTTCTGTGCACAGGTGGGAAGCGTTCCCGTACTTTGCTGTGACCAGGTGCTTCATGCAACACACGAAGATCACGGATAGTAATATCCACAGTGGTGCAATGTGACAAAGAGCATTTACTTTGTGTGTCTGGACTTTATTTAAGTGGATTCATTTTCATTTTTACTCCTCTTCATATTGAATATGAGCAAATATCTGTACTTTCTGCACTGGTACATTCTGAAAATGATTGTGTTGCATGTTGCATAGTTTTCTTCTATATATATGAAAGTTATTAAAAGTGAGATCCGATCAGAGAGGACAGGTAACATTAGATCTTTCAGTGGCATCATCTGCAGCGTTCTTTAATAGATTTTCAGTTTGGTCTTTAATTTTGTATTTTGGGGATAATATCTGTGTTTGCGTCTTTAGGGTTGTCACTTCCTGTTTTACTCTGAAATGCCCGTCTGTTACTTCACATCCTGTCGTTGTCTGGTTCACCCCTGTGATTGTGTGCACCTGCTGTGACGTGTCACGCTCGTTAGTGTGTTCACTGTTCACTCTCTCTGAGCTCTTCACGTCCCTGATACAGATTTACTGGTTTGTTTCTTTCTCTTGTTATCGTTGTTAACGAGTTTGGACATTCACTTCACTTGCTGCTGAATTGAATTCCACTAAATACTTCAGCTGCCTTTAACCTGCTGAAGACACGACAGACTCTTTGCCTCCTCTGGCAAATTATGTGTCTTCATTCTTCGGCCAAGTGTGTTTGAAGATCAGAAAAACCTCGCCGGGCCCGAGCGCTCTACAGAAACTTTAAAACTCTTCCTCCCTGTGCTTCTCTCCTACAGATTGTGCTTTTATGGAACTGTGACAAGCCTTTACCTCCTCGGAACAAGTGGCCCTCCACCAGCGTGCCTCTCACTGTCATTGAAGGGCAGAGCAAGGTAACGTGGCTGTTGGCATCTGTTACTGCTGGAGTTTACAACATCAGGCACAAAAACTACAGGACATAAGAATAAACGTGATTTATTTATCCTCTGTGCGTAGTTATTTATGCTTAACTTTACTTTTACGATAAAAATGAGTGTAAATGAACAGAATTACAGTAGCTTCAACACTGAGAGGAGAAACTGTTTTAACATAATGGAAAAGTTTGTCTGAGTATCAATAAAGATATTTGATTTCTGAAGCCAAAACATCCCGTCCACCGGTATTAGTCTCTCTCCACGTTAGCAGATGGGACATGGACCATATAGAAGTCAAAGTACGTCTGATATGAATTAGTCTCTTTCACTTCAGGTATAGTTCTTACGTTTGTTTGTATGTTCATGTTTGTTTTTGATTAGTTATTTGAGTCGTGATTGGTCGAGTGTATCAGCAGGACCTCGTCCTTCCACACGCTGGCACCAAGTTATGTTTCAGCCGAGCCCGTGTTTGAAATATCTTTGGCTTCGTTTTTGTGAGGTGGGAGGAAGTGGGCAGCCGTCGTCCATCTTTATATAAAGTCAGTAGATTTCTGTTTATCTACTGTGAAGGTACAAATGTGGCCACAACCTGGGTTTATTCTGATGGAGAATAAAACTGGACCCTCACTGAGTCCTTCATGACAAAACCTTGTAAACCAAGCAGATGATGAAACATGAGGTTGATGCAGACGTGTTGTAGATAAAGTTCTTTCCTGTGTTAATTCAATTCTGATGGATGATGTTTCCACTTCAGACCGAGGCGGCGTGAGTTATAGTTTAGTTTCCTTTAACACACACATGAAATCTAAACTGTTTTTATAAGAGGAAGGAAATTGTCTCATGTTTTTTCATTTAACTGATTTTCACACCAATTTTAAGTAATTGAGTTTCATCCTAAAAATACACCCGATCACACGTGCCGGCCTCCTCCTCTCTCTCTCTCTCTCTCTCCCTCCCCCCTCCCTCTTTTTCAACCTCTCTCTCGCCCTCTCCTTTGGATCCTTTGTCATCTAATTGCCTCTGTTTGCTTTCATGTAAATGTTTCCCCCTTGAAACACAACAACATTTCCACTGGTGACAATAAACAGCATCTCAGAGGCAACGTGCATGTGTGTGTATATATGTGTGTGTATATATATATGTGTGTGTGTGTACTCAGCAGCGTCTATGGTCGTATAATTAGTCATGTGGTATATTGTCATGCAGCCCAGACAGATGCTCTTCAGTGTATTTGTTTAAGTGCTGGCTGTGTTTGTTGCCACTACAATAACAGAAAGTTTGTTGTTTGCCTCGATGGAGCCGTCATTCGCTGTCGGTTATGAGTCTATCTGCTCTGTAATGCTGAGTGGAGACGAGCCATCAGCAAGCTTCCACTTTCCTTTTTTTTGTTTTTTTACTTCTCTTTCCTGAACCGCTGCAAACTTTTTGTTACAACCTCTGCGAAACAGCACATATAGAAAAATCCAACAAGTCCTCGTACACGAATAAGAAGCGGAGTTAATCTTTCCTTGAAATTAAAAACCTACCTGATGATTTTATTTTTGCTGTTACGTTTAAACAATGTGTTGTTCCATCTGCTGTTTGTGTAACTTTGCTCCTTGACTGTGATGTTTTTATTCTTTTTGTTTATTCAATATTTGAAGTAGTGATCCGTGGACTCTCACTTTCATCAATCACCTTTCAGCGTTGGATGTCCTGCCCCCGCGCCCTGAATTTCATATCGATAGATTAATCTGCAGCATTGATCCGGACACCTTAGCCGTGCATTTAAATTATACCAAAGGAAAATAAAAGTGAAGAGAGTAAAGGTCAGGTAGGAGCTGATGTTCAAAGAAGGTCGGGGGCAGCTGATGAACGGGGGAATTATTGTCCTTTAAAATATCCTTTAGTCTGTTTTTCCATTTTGAAATCGACTGGACAGAACATCATCGAGCTTCTTTAAGACTTGGAGAATTGATTTATATAAGTATATTTTAAAAGATCCCAGTAATTTTCTTTTCTTCATCTGATATTGTCTCGTAAAATAATTTTTTTTTTTACACTTAAAGCTTCCACTGCACAACCTTAGCCTTTAGCATGTGTAGCATGTTCTGTGGGCATAAAGATTTCTCACCCCCAGTGATGTCGAACTAAATGTTTGAGAAGAAGCAGCTGCCCACGTGACGATGCTGCAGATACCTTGACTTTCAATTGACTTCTCAATGCAGAAACATGTGGGTCCGTCTGAACACACACCGGGTCTCTCCCCTTGAAGTAGCGGGAGTCAGGGCGGATGTAGAGAGAGAGAGAGGGAATGGGTGGACGGAGAGTGACAAAGATAAGGTTCAGACCATTGAACCATCTCAGTGGGATCTAATCTGTGTCTGGAGGCAGAGAAGCATTGACACCAGCCGGAGGGTGGAGGTCTGTGGGGGCGGGGGGGATGGGCTGTTACTCACACAGATGCAGACAAACACAACAAACTCGTCCATTACGAGGGTTTTTGAAGTCCGGTGCCAAGACTGATGTTTACTGAGCTGAAAATGGAGAGGGAGACATTTCCACTTGATCATTTTCACGCCTGTGTGCATAAAATCATTCCACACTGCGTCTACTCCGTCATGTGGCGTCGTTGTGTTTCCACATATGATCTAAATATCGAGTGGATTATTTAAAGAGCCTGCACCAACGGCCCATCACAAAATGTACCTAATGTTATTGTGCATGTTTTGTCCTTTGCTCATACGAATGTTTTATATTTTATACGTTTGTTGCATCCAGACCATTGGTTCAGGATAAATCTGATTATTAGACGTGTTTATTTACTGCAGCCACTCGTTCTGTGTTTCTAAAGAAAGATGAGAAGCTGTGACACGACCACGAACGCCGTCCTGACTGAGCTCATTATCCGCCTGCTGGTTATTGGGCGTCCATCCACAGAAAATACATTTTCTGCCATGAGTTCTCACTTCAAGCAGCGATTCACTGCTCTATCAAATCATTTGAGGAATTTTCGGGGGGTTTGTGCGTTCTTAATTTCTTGATGAATTTGCACTCGGCATCCACCGGCTCATTAAACTGGAGGCAGACACAAACCCTGCAGATATTTGTGTTGTTGCTCCTGAAAATAAGCCTCTTAATATTAACCATCAGGGTGTAAATTCAATCCGCTTTATCCCAGATAGTGAATCCAAGTTAAATGTCAGTGCTCTGACAGCGTAGTTAACACAGGGCTCCGTTTTAATTACATGAAACGCTTATACAAGGGGCGTCTTCCACGCAGCAGCATGTTCATTTTGAATATGGTCACGTTCAGAGCCACATACACAATGACGGGCAGCTTGCAGGGGGTGACTGAGCAGATTGAAATGATTAAAGTCGAACAAAAACTGTAGAAAGTTTGACGAACAAAACAGGAAACTGAAGCTCGCCTTGTTTGTGTCAAATCTATCTTCAGATGTTTCTTTGAAACTTCGGCTGAACTCTGCTTCTGTTCAGCCGAGATCTGTCTTTTGTTCCTTTTCCACAAAAACAGTTAAATAATTCACACTTTAATCACAAATCAATATCATCAGCAGGCCTCTTTAGGCTAATGGAGCGGGCTCTGCTACACTTTCTGCCGGGGCAGTGCATTGATAAAGACTCGCACAGAACCTATTAAGTCAGCTCATTGAATGAATGACACAGCACAGGAGTAAATAAACACTTTCTCTTACCTCTGTACCAACTCTTAAAAATGCTTATTCGAGTAAAAACTGCTTCTAAGTGAGAAACGTCAGGTTGTGATTGTACAGCTCGTGCTGCATTCAGAGTGAGTTGATAAGTTATTTAATTTGTCTTTCCGTCTCTTCCTCTCCAGACGATGAGCAGTCGATTCTTCCCTCACGACGCCATCGTCACTGATGCGGTTCTCAGCCTGGACGAAGACTCGGTTCTCTCAACCAATGAGGTGAGTCACGGTGAGCCACCACAAAGCAACGAGAGCGTGAGCTCGTTTCAGCTGAAGTTTTGAGTCTGTACAGAAAGTATGAAAATGACAACGTGAGAAAAAGTGTCTGTATTTGTAATTCTAGATTTTATTATTGTGTCGGGGGGGTCATGCTTAAATTTCTGTTCCATGTTTAGTGTTTTTATTATTTTCTGCCAGTTTTATTATTTGTCAAACAAGACAGAAGCTACTGCTTTATTGCACACATTTGAACATTTCACTTGAATGTGATGGAACAAAGAACTTTAAACTCTATCAAGGGACCTTAAAACTTGTGCAGAACTCCAGCGAGTGAAAACTTGTGGAAATGTTTTTCTAACCTGCTGCAATGGTTTATGTCAGCCGGTGGCAAAAGGTGGAGACGTCTTAACACAGTATTGATTCCTGCTGAAATGAGGCAGTCAGTCCACGCAGTCATGAAAACCACTCATTACTAATGAATGGCCTCGCGCTGCTAAACAGTGCAACGGCTGCTGAACTTAAAGAGCTGCAACGCGTGATGTATATTCAGAACGCATCACGAGGAATGAAACTGTTTGAAAGCCGGTGTTAATTAAATGAGTGTGTGTGTGTTTATGTGGTGTTGTGATAAAGAAAAACAGATAAAGAAAAGTGAGAAGGAAGAAAGAAAGAAAGAAAGAAAGGAGAACTGGAAAAATTGTTTAGTTACAGAAAAATTCAATATCAGAAAAAGTGGAGGGGATGAGAGGAGGAAAGAAACTGTGGAAGAAAAACAGTAATGAAGTAGAACAAATAAGAAACCAGTGAATTGTCAAGAGACGAACTTCTGTTTTAAAGTTGATTCAAAGATCATGGAGGCCCAAAGAGTTTGTTCGAAAATATTCTGAGCAGTTTTTGGTTTTAAAATAGTCTGTATGTTATTGTATTTTATAAACAACTCATTATCTTCCCAACATTTAAACACATGTTGAATAACCGCTCATCTGTGATGCTGAGTTCGAGCTCCTGCTTTTGAAGTCAGAACGAGCGGCCGCCTTGTTTCTCCGCAGACTTCCAGCGAGTAAAACACATGATCCATAATGGATCGTCAGGCCCGACGAGCCCGAGAGATCCGATATATCCTTAAACTCTGAGATGTTTTATTGATCGGAGCGAGTCAATGTTCACCTTTTCTACGCTAATGGGATCACAATTACACTTTATGGCAGGACAATTTGTGGGACAGCAATAAGAGCGGATTTCTCCACATAAACTTTTATGGGCACCCGACAAATTTTTTTTTTTTTTTTTAAACGAGAGGAAGAAGATGTCAGAGGGAGAGGAATCGTAAAAAGAAAATGTGGAGTGAATCTTTGCCGCGCTCGCTATCCCGTCGCTCTAATTGCCCTTTTAACGTGGAGAGGGGATTTATCGAAAGGGGGATGAAATATGTCAAGTGAGGGAGAATGTGCGAGACGGGACGCAGTGCTTTTATTAGGAGGTTCTGGTATTATAATACCTCAGAGGAAGAATGGCTGTGCCCGTTTCATAATTGCATTGTTTCGGCTCATTAAATGTACGGTTATTCCATGAAGAGAGATTAGAGGAGAGAATACGACTGAAAAAACCTGACGAAGCTTTTGTCTCTGATTGGTCGGCCAAGCGTGCTGCTCCATTATGCCCTTTGGAAGACATTTGCAATGTGGTGGGTATGGAAATCGTCCTCCAACAGCTTTGGCACTATTGTGATCCTCTTCTCATTTGAAGGGATCACTACGTAGCCACCGAGCTCTTCTTCAAAAGCGATTATCACTTTAATCAGCGTGCAGGGTTTTTCAATATGGACCCGAAACCATCTGTCAGAGAAGATTATCTAGATCACCTACCTGCATTGTTTTAATGTACAGTTGACATTTTACAGTAATTAAAGCCACTTAAAAAAAAATTTCAAGAGAGAACGTTTTTGTTGTCCTTTCTGCAACATTACAAATATCAGTGGCCGGTGAGAGAAGTTGGGCAGTCGACCGAGGTCTCGTGGAGATGCCGTTAAATTCCGGCGCTAGTATTTCAGCCGCTCATAAAACGAGCCGTAGCGATCAATGAAAGAAAACTCAGGGGAGAGTTGTCACCGGATCAGAACAGACTTTTCTTTCTGCAGAACCGAGAGAACACTTTCGGACCAGGCTAAACAATGCACCGCCGACAGCAGCTGGTGAAAGGAGCCATAATTCAGAGAATGTCGCGCCGCAGCCTGTGCGGCAGCGGCTCGTAGCCCGACTGTGGACCTCACACCTCAGCTGGTTTGCTCGGATCACGCTGCGACGCCACAGCAAAACTCTGTGGATACAAAAATCTGTTTTTAAGACACTTATCAGCCCGAGAGCAGACGGGAGTTGACAGTGAGAGCGGCGTCACTTCACGGGGAGCAGAAAATGAAATGACACAATGAAATGCAACTTTTCACAACACATCTGAAAAGAGCACGGGGAGGACGCCGGCTCTGAGATGTGATGCAACTCTTCTTCATCTCAAAACAGTGGACGTGTTAAACCGAAATGTCAGATGAGATTTGTAACAGATCTATTTGCTGGATTGACCCAATGCTCCTCGGATCAATTTTGGCCTCGATGACTCGTTGGTACTCTGCACACGCGACAGAGTTCTGGAAAACTCCACTCTAGTAAAAGTACTGTTACTTAAAAGAACTCTCAGTCCAGTGGAAGACTTGCGGTAAAAGTACACAGTGAGTCAGGGTGAATGTAGTAAAACGTAAGGTGGTGATAACATACTGCGTTTTTCATCACTGGGTGTAGACGTATTGGAATTTCAGTGCAGGTGTAAACTGCACCGAGCCAATAGATTCCAGCCTGTGCACACAACTGATAAATACGATGACACGCACAGTTGGCAGTTTATTTATTAAATTCACCGAAAAAACAAAAGTCCTGCAGTGAAAGCTCCTCTGCGAAGGTGATAATGTGCAGCTTCATTTAAACGTGTTGATTCAAGTCCGGGGTCGTTCAGGAGGATGTGGTGCGACATGCAGACGATTTATATAAAACGGATGAATCATGAAAAACATCTGCTGACTCCGACAAAAGCGCAAATTTCCCAACAACACGTGAATTCTCAATAAATCCCTTTGCTCTGGTGGTTCGATCGCGCTGTAAAATACAACCAGTCCACTCACTGATGGTGCAGGGGACAGAGCGGAGGGGCCAGTTTTTTCAGCACCGCTCTTGGGTCATGCTTTAATGGAAGGTGTGTTTGATTTGGGGCACCTGCAGCGGTCACCGGGTGGTGCATTGAATCAGTGGTTATTTAAGGTGGATGCCACCTTTTGTTAACCTTCGCTGAGGTAATGCCACAACTTAACCTGCACAATGACACCATCCTATTGACCCGGCCCGGTCCTGGTTCCTCCTGACCCCCCGTCACATTTTACCAGATCCTCCAACCTTAAAGCAACGCAGCGACCTCGCCCTCTAAAATAACGGCTTCAAATGAATCCTGCTCTCACGATTAAACACTCAACATTAAACATAATCTTAAAATTAAACTGTAACTCTTAAAAAAAAAAAAAGAAAAGAAGCCAGAAGCAGTTTCCACCCGTGTGGAGCTCAGTGTCTGTTCCCACAGGTGGTGTTCGCTCGGGTTAAAGTCCCCGTCGGGATGTGAGAACAGACACACACACACACACACTCTTTTAATCTTTTAATCTCTGAAGGCAAAATTATATTTGCGTGATATCATTAATCCTTTTAACTCAGCTGGAGACATCTGACACGTAGTCTCACATGGAGTGTAAACACATGTACGCTCACACTCACACACACACACACACACACGTTCATCAGAGAATGGCAGCTCCAACCTTTCTCCTGGCTTAGTGCTGCCACTTTACAGTAATTGCTCATGCGATTCATGACAGGAGCCACGAGGTATCGCTAAAGAACATCCACTATCGACGCTCCCCTCCCAGAATCCTTCTACCTCCACCATTCTGGTAATTAATTTCCTCCCTCGGCTCCTGAGTGTGTGTGTGTGTGTGTGTGTATATAAATTACCAGGCGTTTCAGTGTGTGCTAATCCCCCATTCTCTGGTGTGTCTGCCCGTAAGTCCCGGCTGTGTTTTTGAATTCAAAAGAGGATCTTTCTCAGGTGGACTCCGCTTCCTCAAGGTCACCAGGACACTTAGGACAGCGCCGCATGAAATGTCTTCTCTGTGGACCAGTGAGGGAAACAAGAGAGACATGGTCCACACTTGTAGCCACTCGAGACAGATGTGCGGCTGCAGAGGGGACGATTTCAAAACGGGCAGTTCAGTGTCTCGTTTCAGGGACACTTTGAGGGAGCTGGGGATCAAACCGCCGACCCTCTGGTTTGTGGACATCTGGTCGGACCTGTAGAAACTGGTGGTTGATGGGAGGTCTGGCCCGTTCAAACTATTTCAGGAGAAGCTGTTCATGTAGATAATTGAACAGTGTGTGTTTTGATGGGGACTTTTCATGTGGAATGAAAATGGAGAGATTTTTAAAAATCTTATTTGAAAAGCTTGGTTGTGTTTGGTTGTGAAGAGGCAGAGAGGTCGTCGTCTGGAAGAATTCCTCGCCGGCTCCGCAGGTTAAATGTCATTTGATAGCAACTATGAATGTTGTGGTTTTTATTTGTTTACCTTTGCTTTCTGAATAAGTTTCTGTATATTTTAGCTATATCACCTATTTTCCGCTTCTCCAACCAAACCTCCTCCTCCTCCTCCTTTTTACCCAATTTCTTTCTTGATCTTACTTTTATTTTCAATTTCCCTTCTTTCTCTCCTCTCTGTTCCCCCAGGTGGATTTTGCCTTTATCGTGTGGCAAAGTTTTCCAGAGCGGATCGTGGGTTATCCGGCGAGGAGCCACTACTGGGACAGCTCCAGATCCCGCTGGGGCTACACCTCCAAGTGGACCAACGACTACTCCATGGTCCTCACAGGAGCAGCTTTCTTCCACCGGTTAATTGCTTTTAATTTTCTGCACATCATCCATTAATGGTTAACAGTAAGAATTCATTTGTATTCTATTGATTTATTATGAATCCTGTCACCTCTCCGCTTGCCAAATCCTTATTCCTCCTCATACACACCCCAATTAAAAGTCAAAAGAGGAAATGAGATGCGATTGTACTCTACGTCTCTATCTCATAAACGATTGTCGTAAACACAAAGCTAGGACTGAAAGAGAGAGAGGTGGGGGGGGGGGAGTATGAAGTAGAGCGGTAAATTGAAGGAAGAGAAGTGGGATTTGAAGCATCCTGTCACGCAGATAAACAGCTCTCATTGTTCTATTGTTAGGACGCTCAGTGCAACTCTTTAGTCCTTTTGTTATTGAGAATCTCAAATGGCAACGCGAGGCAGAAAGAAACGAGCCGGGGAGAGAGAGATAGAAAAAATGGTGTGTGTGTGAAGTGTGTTTGAGAGAGAGAGACAGAGAGAGAGAGGGACGGAGGACGTTGGCAGGAAGGTAACAGAGTTGACAGTAATCTACTGCTGCCATGTTGCTGAGCGTGCATCTTCCCTACGCAACACAACAAGAACAGAAGCGTTTAAAAACTCGATGTACACAAATATCCTCATATATTTATATTTATATATATATATATATATCTATGTATGTCTCAGATATTACCACTACCTGTTCACCCACCACGTCCCGGCCAGCCTGCTGACCATGGTGGACCGCGTGGCAAACTGTGAGGACATCCTGATGAACTTCCTGGTGTCGGCCGTCACCAAGCAACCGCCGATCAAAGTCACGCAGAAGAAGCAGTACAAGGAAACCATGATGTCGCAGGTAGGGGTGCGGTTCGCCGCCGGAGGTTACGCGGCTGTTTTGGGAACTAAAGCCCAGTTTTTACATCTGTTTACAGACGTGCACGATGACGCACAAACGAGACGAGCAAAATCCTGCGTCTTCATTTTTATTTCACCCTTGAGAGAGTTCGACAGTAGAGAGTGAAAAGGTTTCATGTTTTGCAGAAAGCAGATGAACCGCCTGATTTATTTTCTTATAAATTTATAAAAGACGATGAAAAGTGTTGGATGTGCGATCGTGGAGAAGCTTCAGGCTGCAGCCTCGACCTTCTCGCAGATCGTGTGTGTGAGTGTGTGTGTGAGAGTGAGTGTGCTTCTTGTGGCCTGCCCTATGTCAGGCTCTGATTGATGACCTGACCACAGGCAGTACGATGACGCTGCAGTATGGACTCAATGATTAATGTCTTAATTGTGAAGGCAGCATGGCAAACCAAGATTTACACGCTCCTTCCCTCGCTCTTTCTTTCTTTCTTTTTTTTTTCCTGTGTGTCTTTTTCCTGCTCACTCTCTCACTCTCACCTCTGATTTGTTACTTTGCTTCGAGCTGCAGCAGATACGAGACATTTAACACAGAGACTGACATCGTGTGGGGAAACTTTGACAAGTGAAATAAAGTTTTACAAAGCACCACGAGTCGTGTTTTGCGGCTCCGAAACTGAGACTGAAATCACCATACGAACGTTAAAACGTGTAAATCCCAATTTATTTAGTCTTATTTCACTTTAAGTGAAGGAAAGCTGCTTATTTTGTGAATATTAACAGGGACAGAGCTTCTGATTTTAGAGCTCGGAGGCTCAGAGCCTGAAGAACTGCAGCAGGCTGAGTCAGTAGCTTCCTTTTTAAATCAAAGCTTAAAAATAGCTTTATCATTTCTCTTTCCCTGATTTTACCTCATTCCTGTTTTTATTTCTGCAGTCAGTGAAGCTTCAATTATACTTTTTATTCTTTTATTTATTCTTTTATGCCTCACAAAAAAGATCCGACCCTCTGAAAACAATTATTTGGTTTCACAAAATCAGCATCATTATCCAGGTCTGCACGAAATTACCACTCCCAAGATTTTATTTCCCTTTCTGGAAGAGAGTGAAAAGTAAACCCTGGATTCTCTCCCTGATCTGCTTTACAATTTAATGGTTTATCCTCTGACCCTTCCTGTTTTGTTGTAATCCGTCCAGTTGTTTTTGCTCAATCCTGCAGGACCAACAAACGAGCATGAAAACATAACGAACCGAACTGTGGCTCAAAGTTCGATCTCTGAACCAGACGATGGATTTGAGGAATCTCAACAACTCTAATCACGACTTATATTTAAGTCGAGGTTTTAATATTTCAACATTTATTTTCCATCTCAGAGCTTCTTGTTTCATTCAGGGCGTCGAACAGTTTCTTAGTAGTTTCATTATTCTGCCTGACCCCGTGTGCCCCCCCCCCTCCCCCGCTGCCACCCTCCCGCAGCACACAGGATGAATCTGCTCCGACTCCACACCTCATGCTACATTTAACAAAGAGGTCTCCAGCCCTCCACCTCCACCTCGCCCTCATGTGCCCCCTCGCCAATTCATCTCCCAGCAGCCACCCTGGGGCCCAACCCTCACCTCCTCCCCACCTGTTGTGCGTCTCAGGAAAGCAGACGTGGACGCGGAGCAGCAGGAGATTGTAGTTTCCCGCCTTCGAATGCTTCAACTATTGCAACAACTCATGAGAAGAGCTCAGACCTGTAGTTCTATCAAAGACACGTATCGTCTCAATGTCTTCTTGGATCTAGTAGCCCCCCCCCCACCACCACCACCACCACCACTCGCTTGCAGTGAATCTTGCAGAGGCTCCTCGAACCTTCTGCTGGATTCTTACTGGCTGAAGAAAATGTCCGTAGGCTCTCACTCGGACATTTGCGTCCACCCAGCCCGGACGTGTAGGTTCTCGGAGTTCCCGTGCACGTCTGAATGCAAGCTCCTCCAACAAGCTCATAACAATCCAGATGGAGGAAGTTCTATATTTGTCTAGTTTTATAAAATGACTCGCTCTCGAAGCTAAATGTCAGTGAAACGAAGCTGTTGCTGTTTGGTTAAAAAATCCCACCGAGGACTCTCTGTCCTCCTGCTTCTAACAAGAGGTGAAACCTGCAAACTCTGCAGTTCGTAGTCAGTTTCAACCTGTTTTACTCGACGTGTCCTCTGGCTGTGCAGAGTGAGACTATTTGGAACAGGGCGACTGACAGACAGAGTAGAACCAACCTTTTTAGAGCCGGGAAACGAGGAATGAGAGCTGCACTTTCTAACAATATGTGAGACGTTGTTTGTATGGTTTTTTTTTTCTGTGCTGCTGTTTGCTGGAGCGACCTCTCGGGGGGGATTTCCTGCAGAGTGATGCAGCTGGTCAGGGCGCCCGGCTCCGTCAGTGCGATGGACCTGGGTCCTCTGGAGATTCAGCCTGTGAAAACAAATAGTGACAAATGGTTTAACTATGAGCAACACTTCCTGCGTGTGTCCTGACAAGCTGTCCGCCATCAGGAGGAGCTTCTCCAGCTCAGACCATTAAACCGATGTCACCTTAGCTCCGCCATCTGCGATAATGAAAATTACCTGCCGTGTCAGTGGCTTATAAGTTTGTTCCTATAATATTTATTTCAGAGGGATTAGCAGCGACGGTTCAGTCATTTACAATCAATACGTCAGCTATCAGGACACAGGGGGCGCTGTTGCTCAGTAAACTTTCCATAGTGTTGCTATAAATAGCATAATTTCTGTTTTTCTTAATTATTGTCTGCATCCCCTTGTCGTGACATTACTTCTTGGTACGGAGCCGCTCGTTGACCGTTTCCTCTGAAACGTTCACCCTCTCCATGTTTTTCTCTGTTCCTCTAAACGAAGGGCTCCAAGGCGTCTCGGTGGGCCGACCCCGACCACTTCGCCCAGCGGCAGACCTGCATGAACGCCTTCAGCCACTGGCTGGGTTTCATGCCCCTGGTGCAATCCCAGATGAGGCTGGACCCCGTGTTGTTCAGGGACCAGGTTTCCATCCTGAGGAAGAAATACAGAGACATCGAGAGGCTGTGAACGCACAAGGATACAAATCTGTGTGTGTGTGAACATTCGTGACACTATAAAATAAAACACACACATGCACTGGACATAAATGTGATGAAGCACTGAGGTAAGCATAACGCATTTAACTGTGCACTTCTATGGAGAAAAAAAAAAAAAAGGTGTATGCGTGGTTTTCAGCCTTCATCATTCTGAATGCATGGATACACATGCAACAAAGACTGCAGGCGTGACCACAGACATACAGTACGTGTTGCATGGTTTGAAAAAGACAGCTGTTCCAGGACCTGAAGTATCAACGTCATGTTTTAATTTTTTAAAAAGAGGAGTTTACTGTGGACATTCACAGAGACGTTTATCGAGGAAGGTTCAACAGATTAAAAAGGTTTTATCCATAAAGTCAAATCTTTGGGTTGTGTATGTACAGTGAGGACATTTTATGGACTAATGGGACAAACTGTTGCTTCTGGGTCGGGTCAAATGTCAGCTGCTGTCCCCCCAAACACCCAGAGACAGCGTCCCTCTTGTATTCTACTGTAGATTTTCAGCAGAGGTTCCTGTCTGTATGAAGCAAATTAAAAATAAAATAATGTTATGTTATAAGAGAAGAGAGCAGCTCTCACCTGTTCCTTTATTTCCTTTTAAAATCTTTTGTCCGGTTCTTTTTCTGCTGAAGTGCGTGTCCAAGGATTGTGGTTTTAAATGTCAAACAATTGCAAATATAACACGTGTCAATGAAAGTATATCACCATATATTGAACCTTTATTTTATTTCTACGACGCAAATTATATTGTGATAATTATTGATATTGTTTAACTGGAATAAGAAACTGGATTCACTTAACTGTGCCGGCAGATAATGATCCAAAAGGACAATTGAGGATATTTACTCATCTGCAGATTTGATAAGATGGATGTAACTGTAGATGAGTCTCCAGCCGCCTGTATTTATTCAAATTATTCATAGAATACAATTTATCTGCGTATCACAATGAGCCATTTGGATGGAAATCAGCCCGGTGTCATCAACTGCTGTTCTCGCGAATGATATGAGGTCAGTATACGACTGTTTGGTCTTTTTGAAAACATTAAATTTTATTTGAACCTGCTGCTCACTAATGGTTTCCACCGCTCTGAGTTTCTATAGCAGCTCTCAGGTCGCGATCCTGTGATGCTCTGCAGAGACCAGAACAAAGGACGGGCCACGCCATGATGGGTGAGTGATGAAAGACACTTCCTGGTAGAGGGATCTGCTACTTCTGAGTTTTATTTTTATTTTGTATTACGTAATTTTCTAAAACTACTGAATTACATCTGTGGCTCAAACTAAAGCGACGACACCTCAGCAGCCGCCGCGGAGCTGCAATCCAACCGTTTATTCCCAAATTAAACCGTTGCTACCCTGAAGTCACACGTCAGCTGGAGAAGTTTGTGCTTCTCAGTCATTTACCTGTAGTCTGTGACGCTGGAACCCATTAACACACTGTAAATTACACACACACGTTCCAGAGGACTGTTCTCACATCTATAAAAAAAGACGATTAACCCTTTCTCCCCTGCAGCTCCCTCATCACATCTGTCGCTCCTCATTCATCTTTCCCTTCATCTCCTCATTTATTGATTTTTCCCTCTCACCTTTCCTCTCCTCCCTCCTCTCAACGACAATTATCATAATAACTTGATCCCACGTTCTAGTTTTCCCCGGACGCCGTTATTTCATCTAACCTCCCCTCTTCTCTTCAGGTTTTCTCCCGCGCTCCCTCTCGTCTTTCACAACCAATAACCAGGATCTCTTCATCAGGGATGGAAGTGTCTTCAAAGCAGGATCTACAGTCTCACAAGAGCAAACACATGCAGGGATGCTGGATGTTCGGCTTGTTGAATATCAGCACATGCTGTACCGTCCAGATTTAAGAGCGACCTGTCAAAATAAAGCGATGCCTTTTAAAGTACGAAAGCAGAATGGACCATATTTTCCTCCCTGTTCACTTTCTATTTCTACAGTTTGGCAAACTACCTGAGCCAACAGATGATTTAGTGCGAGCTACAATGAGTTTCATTTCAGTTTGCTTTAGGGAATGCACCTTTTGCTCCTGTGATGCATTATTATTATTGTGTGTCTGTGTGTGTGACTGTTTGTGTGTGTGTGTGTGTGTGCGTGTCTTCCTGTTGGTGTGAGAACAGATTTTGGTTTGAAACTGTCAGAGTTTTCCCTCTTCAGGTGTTTCTCTGTGTTATTAGGTCTTAAGGTTTCTGAAGTGTTTGTCCGAGCTTCTGTTCACAGGTCACACTCACATTCGTCAGCAGGATTAAGTAAAAAGTTCTTTACAGAAACTTAGTTTGAGGATGAAAGGTGGCTGAGAAAGAACTTGTTTACTTTGTTTTCTTTACTCTTCTTTTTTTATATTGTGAGATAGGATGTGGGTTTTTGTTTGTTTGTTTTAGCAGCAGATTCACCAACAAATAATTCATGGACCATGATGGAAATAATCAGACATAATGAGGGGACTGAATTCTGAGTGTGTGCGATTTGGTGCGGCATGATTACATTTATTTATTTGTCTCTTAATCTGCAGGATTCTGCTAAAACTAAATGACAGATTACCATGAAACTTAACTTTGTGAGTTTTCCAAAATGTGCCTTAATTTCTCGAAATAATTCACGAATCTTGATGAGAAACTCAAACGTTCCAATGAAAAACTTTTACTGGATGTGCACGTTCCCATTTCTTTGTGGTAATAATCCAATAAAGTTGCACAAATAAGTGACTCCTGCATGTTTATACCTTCTATTATCCCCCTCCTGTCTGCCTCTGTCCATGTGAATATAACGGGAGTCAGTGAACACAGTCGGTAAAGAGCTGTCGATAGGGAGTCCATACCATAACAATATCCTGCAGAGTGTTTCTCTGCAGCGGTTTTATCTTTGTCGCTCACACACAAAGTCGTCCTCTCCGTGAGAGCCTGTTTAAGGGTCTTGTCTCCACTGTGATCAATTACAGGTCAGTGTTAGTCATTGGATGTGATCATCCGTGGGTTCCCTCAGGAGGAAACTAAACCGCTTCACTTCTCCTCCGTTTGTACTTTACTGGACAGCGAGTGTATGGATCCCTGTCCCCGCTGATGTCAGTGGAGGCAGCACAAAGAAATGTGGAAAAATAAATGTGACAGAGGGGAGAGGAGCTTTTAAGGCTTTTTTTTTAAGTGACGTACAATCCAGACGTCCCCCGGGGATCCACGATGACGTCGAAATGATCGTTGGTTTTTGTTTTACTGTCGGGAGAAGTGAATTTACAGGGCACTGAAAAGCCAACTGCATCACTGAGTGTGGTGATACAAGAAGAAAATTAAATCAATTATATTCAAAGTTAAATAGAAGTCAGTAGAATAAAGTTCAGCTTTTCTAGTAGGATTTTCAGACATTAATTAAGCTTTTTTTTCGAGTAAATTATCTATTTAAGAGTCTTTTATGTTTGTAAAAAAAAATTTCTTGGCCAATCTTACCGTCATGTGACACTGGTCCATGTCCCGTCTGCTAACATGGAGGAGGCAGGGTTTATAACCGGCCACCAGGGGGCGATGAAGATGTTTTGGTTTCACTCATGGGAGCTGTCATGTCGTCCGCCCTTGTCATAAACTTAAAGTTGGTTGGAAACAGGTATATTTTATCAGTCGTGTGAATTTGCTTGATTTGTATTTTTATATTTTTCACTGAGATCAGATGGGGATCTGCTTCTTGCTGAGATGCTGCGACCTCATCAGGTTTCAGGTCAATGTTTCTTTTAATTTTCTCTCCATTCACTCTCTGTTTTCATGACTCAGACCAGCCGCTGATAATCAGATGTAAAAAAACTAACAAACAAACAAAAGAAAGTCGATGCGATAAATGAGTTGCCGGGGCGACTCCATCATGTGTCTGTCGTACAGAGGCAGACAGAGAACAGAACATCCATCTATTCCCATCAGTCCATCGGACTCGATCAGTCCTGACAGGCGGCCTCTCCTCCCCCTTTCATCTCTCTCTCACTCTCCTTTATTTATTTTAAGCCGTCAGCATCCATCTCATTCGTTACGGCTCCATTATGCAGCGCTGCCTCAATAAAATAACAAACGCATGAATAAATCATACCCAGCCTCCATCTCTCTGATTCATAGAGTTTGGATAATTATTCAGTTTTTCATGAGAGAGCACTCATTGATTCGCCGTGACCCTAAACAGTTTCCAAGGTTATGGAATGGGAAATTGATTGGCGGCGGCGAGCGGAGATGGAGACGGGGAGCGGACTCGCAGAATATCCAAATATTCAGATCTCTCCCTCCCTCTCTTCCTCTCGCTGCTCTCGCTCCGCAAATATCCGTGACCAAATGGACTTATAATTGGAAGTCAGGGGGCCCAGAAATACTCCTCACCTTCTCTGGGAGTCGTGGAGATATTAGTTCTGGTGAGTTACAGGGTTGATATGAGCACATGGGGAGAAGATGATGAAAAGAGAAAGTGATTAGGAGGAGCCTGTCGCTAGTAAATTTTGAGGGACTTTATTTTTATTTTTTCATTACTTCTGTTTTTCTCACTTGTACTTTTCTCTTTTTCACACAAACACATTCTCTCGTCCGTCTTTTCCTCTTCTCCGACAGTGTTTCTCATTATAGCCTGTGTCCACACATTTGTCACATCGGCCAGTCACCCATGATGATATCATAGGGTACTGGGGCACTGTGTGTGTGTGTGTGTGTAGTCCGCAGCATTGACTCGGCTTTTCAGAAGACCCCTGTGAGATTCCACACACTGACAGGAAGTCACAAAGTCGTATTTGCTCCTGAGTCCTTATTTCCTCCTGGTGGGTGTTGAGAGTCCCCCATTGTCTGAATTGAATAGGACATGTCTCTGGATCTATGAATCCTATTATGAGGGAAGACGGGCAGATGGATTTTAAATGGAGCTATGCAGCAATGAAACATGTTCAGACTGTTCTCGCCAGACAAAAGACGGCACCGGCCGTTTGTTCTAATGCTAAAAATGTCCCTGGTCTGCTTTTCTGGACAAGACAACTGTTGACGGATTCTTTTCTCCTCTCATTTGTTAAATAACAAGACGTTATAGTGCCACAAAAAATAATAGATAGAGGGTGTCGGTGTTGGATACACAAAATATTTATCTTTGCAAATGCGTCTTGTGTAATTAATTGGTGTTATTAATCACATTTGATCAGCTTCCTTAATTATGTTCTTATCAACAGAACGAAGTTACAATCAAGCATTTCTACGTGAGCATCGCTGTCAAAGCTAAATGTCCAAAGATGGACGACATGACGGCTCCTAAAAGTGAAGCCATTGTTAAAGTGTCTTGAGTGCCCCCTGGTGGCAGCACCTCCTCGATATGGAGGTTAAACCAAAAAGTCAGAAATGGTCTCTCGTTATAGTTCTTATCTCACATATTTGCTTTTTTCTATACCAATAGATCCTGTTATTTTTCTTTAAATGTTTTATGATATGGATTAATTGTGCAGATAGAAAGTATTTGCTTTAAAAATAATTCTATCCTTGTTATTACAGTTGCTTATTTCTCCAAAAGCCACAAAGTCAACTTTCTTAAGTTTTGTGTCTCTGCTGAG